GTAAACTTGCATATTTGTGTATAGCATTTCGTGTTTGCACACCTAAAACCCCTAAACCCAAAACCCTCAACTCTCAACCCTCAACACTGACCCTCAAAGCATAAAGTCGTACCTCTTTACGTAATACCCACACATAACATAGGAATGCACAATTACTACCGCAACATTGCACAACTACTCTCACCACAGTGCACAACTACACAAAAAAAAATTGTAAAAAATTGACTTGACGCCATGGCTAAAACTCATGACCAACAACGACAACCCCAGTTAGAAAACAACGACAATAAAGTTAAAGGAAATGCCTAAAAATCTTTGATATATCTCCTAAAAACACGTTGCATAAAGCTTGAGGGAACTCATCATGCAAGAAAATAATGCACACAATTACCCAAATACACCCATCGTCTTAAATAAATTAAACAGCTTCCTAATTATATATTAAATCCTAGCCATTAAATCTTGCCAAATAGAGAGTTTAGATTAGACCATAATTTTGTGTTCTCACATGAGTCTTGACTTAACGCGGCCTTTAAGTCGAGGACGAGATCTTAACTTATCGCGGCCTTTAAGTCATCAAATGCCATTTGATAGTACGTGCTCGGACCATTCCACGTCTTTCCCTTGAGTAGGTCCGTCAATGGGGTTGCCCGCTTTGAGTAGCTCCCGATAAACCGCCGATAATAATTTGCTAAGACAAGGAAGGATTAAAGTTTGGTTACTTTTGTTGGTGCCTCCCAATAGCTTCCCATGTCCAATGATAATGCTTTTACCTTGGCTTAATAAACATTATAATTAAAAAATAAAAAAATATATGGTGTATGATTATAATAAGAGAATATATAACAAAAAATATAACTATAATGATGATTTTTTCTAATACAATTCTTATAGTATAATATACAAAAAAAAAAAGAAAGAAAGAAAGAAAGAAAATAGATGTAATTGGACGCTACCAACCTTCATTTCCCTCATATAAGATTTTATTCTAGATTATTAAAATATTTTATATTTCAGATACAAATTTATAATAATTTAATTTTAAATATTATTAGGGTGTTGCTATTTGCACCCCCTTTGACCAAATATGGTATAAAGTATCATTGAAAATGTAAAAAGGTGGTAAATTGTAATAAATATATGAGTGGTGCAAATAGCCTAATGGGTGGTCAAAATGCTATTTGCACCACCCTATTAAAACTGCATTTATGAGTTCAAAATTTAATTCTTAAAAAAAAAAAAAAAAAAAAAACGAAGAACACACCATCGCCTTCTCCGGTGAGAAGGCGACGGACTGCCTTCTCACCGGAGAAGGCAACTGGGCTGCCTTCTCCGGTGAGAAGGCAGCCCAGTGGGTTGCCTTCTCGCCGGAGAAGACAACCCATTTGCCTTCTCCGGTGAGAAGGCAGTCCATCGCCTTCTCACCGGAGAAGGTGACAGATCTTTTTTTTTTTTTTAAAATAACCCATTGGGTTGCCTTCTCCGGTGAGAAGGCAACCCACTGGGCTGCCTTCTCACCGGAGAAGGTGACTAGATGGAGTTGTTTTTTTTTTTTTTTTTTTTTTTAATTAAAATAAATAAATAAAAATCTTTGACCATATTTAATGCTGGCATTTACACCACCTATAAAGCTATTTGACCTACTAAGTAGGTGGTGCAAATAGTAAAATAGGTGGTGTAAATAGAATTACCCTATTATTATTATTGTTGTTGTTGTGGAGGTGATGGAACATACTGATAATTCCAAGAGAAATCTGTGCATTTATGCTGCAAATAAATTAGAGATATAGAATATATAAATTTTAGATTAAAATATTTTTTAATTATCATATAAATATAAATTTAGTAACAATATAAATAATTATATAAAGTTAAATAAATAGTAGTCTTTTGAACTAAACAAATACAATCTACTATTATTTTCAAAATTTTTGTCATAATTAGTTAATGCGATTCATTATTTACCAAACACACCATATTCATAAAATATTGACAATCTATCATTCATCAAATTCCTCCCGTAAAAGTATATACGGCAAATATTTTTTTCTATTTAAAAAATGAATCTAATTGTCTAATTAGTTATGTAAACTAGTCGTTGGAGCTCAAAAATATCCTTTAATTGTACTCAAGTTCCCATTACTTCCCACTTCCCAGTTCCCATTTTAGCAGTTTGCAGCAAAATCTCTCTCTCTCTCTCTCTCTCTCTCTCTCTCTTTGTTTCCTTTCTCTCTCTATATCTCCCTTTTCAGTTTTCACCTAATTCATCTTTTAACTCCTTTTTTTCTGAGTTTGCTTAACACCTGCAGCTCCTCGCCGCCACTCTGTCCTTCCGACTTCGCTGCTCTTCGCTCTTTGGTCAGTAAAGGTATGCATCTCTGTATCATCTTTAACGAGTTTTTTTTTTTTTTTTTTTTTTTTTTTTTTTTTTTTTTTAAATTCAAAAGCTGGAGGCGCCTGCTGATATTATGCTATTAGGGTTTATGCAGATGTTTATTTTTAGATGGAGCTTAGAATTACAGTTATGGATTATATTCTGTTATTTAGCCTTGTACTTGGATGATTTCATTGTAACTCGAATCCTGTGAACTGAACGTATCATCTCTGCAATATTCGTGTCCAACTAATCCTGAATTGCGGACATGTACATGAGAAATGCATTTCCTGTCTTGTAAAAATTTTATAGTTGTTTTAAATTAAAATTTTGAGCATTTTTCTTCAAGTTTTGGATAATTCTTTTTGAAATGCAAGATGTGCAAGTTCGTTGTGTGTCTCAAATTAGTTTTGTGGGGGTGACATGGTTGACATTAACATCCAATGTCAGACAATGGTGATGTGAGGTTTTCTATAGGTTACCTGTTAGGAATTTTGTGTCCGAAGTTGAAAATTATTGGTTTGTTTGTTGGAGTTGATAAATCTTTCCTTGATGGCTATAATTATTCCCCCTTTAAGCTGCGTCTTCTCTGTTCTTTGATCAATTTGTCTGAAGCTGATAACAAAGATGAACTGATTTCCTGTTTAATGAACTTACTGCCTATAGTAGCTTTTTGATGGAAGAGAAAGAGTAGAAAGGTTACAGTTTTTTTCTGCTGTGTTTTATGTTTTGTGCCTGATCCAGGAGAAAGTCTCAGGTATATATAGACATCATGGAATCTCTTAACTTAGAGCAAAATCCCTTTTCAACGTATAAGCTATTGGGGGAGTCTGTTTATGACTGTTTTCAGCAACAGGAAAACAGCACAATGGGCATGTCCATTTGTGGGCATTCTCTCTACCTTACTCTTTGTTGGAATTTTTATTTTTCCTTTCAGGTTAAAGTACTTTTTAATGTCTTCAGTCTTACTAGAAGCACTGACATTTTACCTTTAAAAGCAAGTACCTTCCTTCCATCTTATTGCTCTGAATTATTGAAGATTCATGGAATTTTTATTTTTCCTTTCAGGTTAAAGTACTTTTTAATGTCTTCAGTCTTACTAGAAGCACGGACCTTTTAAAGCAAGTACCTTCCTTCCATCTTATTGCTCTGAATTATTGAAGATTCATGGAGATATTTAGTGTGCTTTCACTTGGCTAAAATGACGACTTCACAGGTTGTTACCTCAAAACTTCAAAAAAGTTTCTGTTTTTTATTTTATTTTTATTTTATTTTTATTTTTTATTTTTATTTTTATTTTTTATCCTTTAATTAATGTTTCTCAATAATGCTTAATGCTAACTTCTCCAACATGCGTATTCAAAAGTTGTATATTTGTATTGCCTTTATTTTTTATGTCCATAAGTAATTGTCTGCTTTGTCCTTTGCTGAGGGGCCATTTGGTTATGCTTATATTCTGTTTTTGTTTTTTTACAAGAACAAAAACATGATTGGTATCACTTTCATTAGCCTCTTAAACTTGTTTTAGAATAAATTGTGTTAAGAGTCCCACATTGGAAAAATAAGAGAAAACATATGGGTTTATAAGGCTATGAGTTCGACTATTTAATTGTTTGGATTCAATCCTTTAGTATGGTTTGGCTCATGCTATTTTCCCCTGATATTCATTGGGTGCCATAAATTGGCTGACCCCACATACTCATACTTTTAATTAAACACTAAAGTAACCAATTAAATTTATATATATATAACTCAGGTGAAAGGTGGAGTGAGATCTGAGCCGTTGATCTAAAAAAAATGGCTCAAATTAAGAAAAATTATAAAAAAAAAAAAAACGAAGTTATAAAACTACGCACTTTAAGCTATAAAACTATGCACCTTAAGTTTTAAATTGATTAACCTTAAACTATAAAAGTAATGCACCTTAAGTTTTAAACATACGCACCTTAAGCTATAAAACTACGTACCTTAACCTTAAAACTTTATCATCTTAAACTTTAAACTTAGCCACCTAAAACTATAAACTTAGGCACCTTAAATTATAAATTTAGGCACCTTAAACTATAAACTTACGCACCTTAAGTTTTGAACTTATGCAAAATTACCATAATGTCACCGTACTTTTTTTTTTTTTTTAAAGTTTTCTTCAATCTGGGCTGTTGATTTTGGCTACCCCATCCTTCACCTGAACCTATTACCGCACCTGATCCTATATATTTGTGTGTGTGTGTGTGTGTATATATATATATATATATATATATATATATATATATATATATATATATATATATATATATATATATATATATATATATATATATATATATATATATATATCCATGCTCTGGTGCGGCACTGCTCTCCCATGCGATCGTGTGGACATGTTAGAGCTGTAGGATGAGCTGAGATCAAACGGATGGAAATCAATGAAGAGGAGAAAATATGTGGTGGCAATTTCGTAATTTTCTGTAACATGTATATTTCGGCGGTGCATTACGTGCTAGTGTGTGGTGCACTTATGAGTGATACGTGGTGCACCTAATATTGCACCACTCAATGGGTCTATTGAACCCACCGCGTTTTTTTTTTTTTTTTTTTTTTTCCCTTTTTGGTGCTGCACTACAGATCACTCATAAGTGCACCACACACGAGCACTTAGTGCACTACCGAAATATACAAGTGTAGTTTTGTGGTGCGCTAAGTGCTGGTATGTTGTGCACTTATGAGCGAATTGTGGTGTACTTAGTATTGCACCACTCGACGGGTTTTTTTGAACTCACCGTGTTCTTTTTCCTTTTTGGTGGTGCACCACAATTCACTCATAAGTGCACCACAGAGCACTCATAAGTGCATCACACACCAGTACTTAGTGCACTACCGAAATATACATGGTGCACAAAATTACAAAAATGCCATCGCATTTTTTCCCTTTTGATTGATTTTCAGCTACTTTGGTGGTGCACCACAAAGTATCAAGCAATGCACTGCAGACCACTCATAAGTGCACCATTCATCAGCATTTAAGTGCACCACCAAAACAAACATTGTCGACAAAATTACAAAATTTGCCCTTGCATTTTTTCTCATCTGTATTGATTTTCATCCGTCTGAGCTGAGCTCATTCTACGGTTCTGACATGTCTGCACAACCGTAGGGGAGACCAGCGTTGCATATGAACCAATTTATATATATAGAAGTTGGTTCTTATGCGGCTACTACTTCCCGTGTGGTCGTGCGGCTTTGCACCACTATGTATGTACAAATGCACCACCAAGTGTTCAGAAATGCACTACCACGTGCATTTTCAAATGCACCACTCAGCACCCGGGTGCATTTATGAACACATGGTAGTGCATTTGTGCATACATAGTGGTGCAAAGCCACATGACCGCACAGGAAGCAGTAGCCACACCAGATCTTTCCCCTATATATATGTATTATGAAACTTATCTTCAAATATTTGAAATTACATGGAAATAGTTTGCTTTAAATACATTTGATTATATATACTTGAATATTGTGCTTAGTGAAGTAGATTTTAAATTTTGGCTAGAAACCATATTTCCGGCCTTGTTTTCAAATAATTGGTGTGGAGACATTCTGTTTTCCAATTTAACTACTTTACATGTCGAAACATTGTGTTAAGAACTTGCAGGACTCACATAAAACACAAGAGAAACAACCTTCAACGCAGGTCTCAGTCTCACATGATTCCCAAAATGACCAACTGAACAATAAAACAGAGAATCCTGTTGCAGATTCAGGATCAGTTTCTGCAACTGGCAACGGAAACAGGAAAGTTTCACATGAAGATATTGAGCTTGTAAGATAGAACACTCCTTTAGATTCCCTCTACCTTCCTTTCCATTATTTTTTGCAATTCCACAGCTTATGTGAACTTTTATATATGACTTTCTATGACAATTGTTGTTGGTGTAGGTTCAAAACTTGATTGAGAGATGTTTGCAGTTGTATATGAATAGAGATGAAGTAGTGAAAACACTTGTCAGCCGTGCAAAGATAGACCCTGGATTTACAACTCTAGGTAAGTATCATTTTGCTAGGTAAAGAAGTTGTTCATGGTTGGCTGTCAATGTGCTATGCCTCGGCTGCAATACTTTTATTTCTGCTGTCTTATCACCATACTGTTATCATGTGATCACTTTAGGTGATCAGATAATTTTCATGTTGGGCTTTTCATTTGTAGTTTTCATAATATATTTTACTTCTATGTACAGTTTGGCAAAAGTTGGAAGAAGAAAATGCTGATTTTTTTCGAGCCTACTACATAAGATTGAAACTGAAGAAACAAATCATATTGTTCAATCACTTGCTTGAGAATCAGTATCATCTAATGAAATATCCAGTAACCCCTAAGGTTCCATTAGCTCCATTGCAAAATGGGATTAATACCATGCCAGGTAAACTTAAGTCATTATTATCTTCTAAATGATCAGTGTAACTGTGTACTTGAACATCAAAGACAAATCTTCTGGAACTCTATCTTACCCAAATCAATTTTTTCTTATTTTGTTTTTGGCGAAAAAGTGTTTTTGTTTTATATTACTTGTAGTATTTTGGTGACATGTGCTTGTAGATGTTCTATTGATAATTGAATTTGATGTATTTTAATGCACAAGCATTTCTGCATTTCTATCTCACATCTTAAAATATATACTGGACTGTTGGACTTGAATGGAGTCATGGAGATATAATAACCTTCACTGGGGGTTGAAATGGCAGTCTCATTGGAGAGGTCAATGTTAGGCTGACATTAGTTTCCCCCTTTACTTCCTCCTTTCCTTTACCCTTATATTGGATGACTTCATCACTTCCAAGAATACAATGGGGGATGATAATGCCATACAAAAAAAAAATTGTTACTGTCACGCAAAGTTCATACTACATATTACATACTTGTGAAGCATGGGTTGCTGTCTCTTCTGTTATTCAGTGACTTTTATTTTCAGTGCAGTCAACAATTTACCCATGGGATATCCTGTCCTGCAACAACCTCCAGTTCCAGCTACAGGTCAACCTCCTCATGTAGATTCAATGGGTATATCAAGCTGCCATGTGGTCAATGGCGTTCCTGCGCCAAGCAACTTCCATCCAATGCGGATGAATTCTGGAAATGAGTAAGAATACATTGTTCTTCAGGTCTTCTTTGATTCTGAGTTCATCACGAAACCCACAAAAAAAACAACCATAATTGATCCATTGGTCCTGTTTTCTTCTGCTATATCTTCTTTAGTGTCGTGTTGTCTGATTTGCCTTGCTGGATACTGGCACAATGCTCAAGATGTGCAGGTTCTAACCAGTAACCATCTATTTTCTTTTCTTGAGCATCTACACTTTCATTACTTGTAACCATCTACTCATCACGTTAAATTTGAGTCTGAAAAACAAGATAGTTGTTGGTTCGTCTTTTGAAATTAAACATATCTCCAAACCTACCTAGTTTTATTATACTATCTTTTTTTTTTAGGGGGGACTTTTCTTGCTATTGCATTAGAACACTTATATTACAGGATTTACAGGTCTGGCAAATGATGTTCTTCTATACATTCATTCTTTATTGCAGTATGGTGATTGAAACCAGTGCATCAGATGTATCAGCAGCTGCTCCACCAAGTAATGCCATTTCATCAATGCCAGATATGCCTGTAAGCCCCATCCAAGTGGCCTCCAGTGGTCATTTCCCCTTTACTGCAGCAGAGATATCTGGGATGGGAGTAGATACATCTGCCCTTGATACAGCATTTGCATCTGATGCTAGCTCAGTAGGATTACAGCTTCCTACTGATAATGGAGATGGAAATTCTAGAGATTTTCTCAGATCCTTGTCTCAAATTCCTTGGAATTTCAGTCTTTCAGACCTAACAGCAGATCTACCAAACTTGGGAGGTAACTTAGGAGAATCCATAAAGATACCACACATTGTCATGGTCATTTATAAGCAAGATATGGTGCAGTGGTGCTTATAGTGATGAGCATTCTTTTTTAATTATTATATGGTAGTATAGCAATGCCTTATTTCACTTTGGAATATGGTGTATCTTCTTAAAACATTTTAATTTGTTGCTAACTGCATATCTTTCTCAGTCCTTTGATAATAGACAGAATTTGGTAGAGTAACAATAACAGCAGCAACCATTATAGTAATAGTGATGACTGTGGTGGACATATCTATGATGATTAGTGGTAGAGTAACAATAACCACAACCATTTTAATGTTCTGCCCTTCTCAAGGACATATCTATGATGATTAGTGGCTTTTTAAAGGTTTTAAATGGCTGGTAGTGATCCTGTTTAAACCGTTCTAATCAGTGTTAATTGTTACCTGATACTACTTGCAGATCTAGGAGCTCTTGGAAATGACACTGGCTCACCCTTTTTGCCTTCTGATTCAGATATTCTACTTGACTCTCCAGAGCAAGATGACTTAGGTGAGAGCTGTTCCATTCTTGCATATGATTTGTATTAAACAACATAATGTATGTACAAAACAATTTGACACGTTTTTGTTAAGAAATCTAGTGTCTCTGTTTGAAAATTGAATGCTTGCCTTTGCTACTTGTTTCTCCAAAAATAACATCAACTATTCTTGAAGATAGTTGACCATTCATTATGCACTACCCACAAGCATGTATCCTGCCAAACTCTTCATTAAAAAGATTAGCAACAAGGTCTGAATTTATGCATGTTTGGATGGGTAGAATGTGAGAGGAAAGAAAATGGGAGGGAACTGAAAATGGAGAGAAATTTTGTGTTTGTATGAGAAGAAAAAAATGAGAGGATTGAGAAATGGAGGTGATGTGCATGTTGAGAGGAAGAGAGGAATAAAAGCTTATGTAGGGGCGGGTTAGTTTTATGACTACGATCTAACCTATCTATAGTAATTGTTCCACATAATATACCAACGCCTGTGACCTTACGTTTGGAAGGGTAACAGTTGTTGAATTTGGAAGATGGAATGGCCTGGCGGGTGGAGAATAATACACCCGCCAGTTAGGCGGAAGCAATATGAAGAATCAAGACTAGGAAATGAATATAAGACTGAAATTATATTTGTATTCTCTGTTTCTAATACAGAAACACAGTACATATATATACACAAATACATAACTGTAAGTAACTACCCATAACTACCCATAACTGACACCTATTCATAAACAGACACAACCCTATAGATAAACCTAACTCTTTAGTTTTCAACACTCCCCCTCAAGCTGGAACATCTAGAAGTTCCAAGCTTGGATTAAAACATACACTCTACATTACAAATGAAGATTAAAAGCAGCTAGAGAATAACAGTGTTGGATGGCTTCGGAGGAACAATGCTATAAACAACCCTTGGGAATGAAGGCACCAGGGCGAAGCTTGTCACAAACAAGCTTGGGAATGAAGTCACCAAGGGCGAAGATTAACACGAACACCCTCACAGCAACATAAGCATTCTAGGCTTTGCCAATCAACAATCTCCATCAAGAATGGCAGAGCAACCAAATCATGAGCAGCAAAGGGGATGTAGTAGAGCCCATAGATTGTTGTATGAATACCGAGAAAACCACATGATTGTTGTTTATACCTCTTATAGGATAAGTGAATAACAAAATAAGCTTCGGGAAATAAACAAGGTGCCAAACATGAAAACCCTAGGGACTAAGTATGGTATACCGAATATAAAGAAACAAATACGGTTATACCAAAAACACCCCGAAAAGAGGTTTGGCAACCAACCCAAAAAGCCTTCAAACTTCACCAAAAGGTCCAAGGGCAAAACAACAATCTGGAATTTTCACCGGAGAATACATCACAAGGAAAAATACAATTTTGATGTTTGAAATACCCTAGGAAAGTAGGCTCTGATACCATGTTGAATTTGGAAGATGGAATGGCCTGGCGGGTGGAGAATAATACCACCCGCCAGTTAGGCGGAAGCAATATGAAGAATCAAGACTAGGAAATGAATATAAGACTGAAATTATATTTGTATTCTCTGTTTCTAATACAGAAACACAGTACATATATATACACAAATACATAACTGTAAGTAACTACCCATAACTGACACCTATTCATAAACAGACACAACCCTATAGATAAACCTAACTCTTTAGTTTTCAACAACAGTGATGCACTGATGCCATCAAACCACAAGGTACTTGGCGAAAGGGTATAAGATGGGCACTCTTTTCTCTTTATTTTGTTTCCCCTCCGACTTTGTGCCCATCCAAAAATAGCATTAGCCCTCCCTCACAAGTTGTAGTTCAATTGATCAAGTGACCAAAACTAGTGGCTCATTGCGTGAAATTTCAGCTAATTGGTATTGTTATATTTGTTTGTCTTTGTTGTAGTAGACGAGTTCTTCGTTGATTCCATCCCCAGCCAAGAGGCAACAGGAACTCAATCGGACGAGGAAAATCCCTAGCCAAATTTGTCCTACAAATTCTGCAGTGTAAGAATAATGGCAGCGCAATACAATGGTTACAGACACACGAGGTGCATAAAGAAGATTGCTTACCCAGTTTTACGGTCCCAGACTTAGTTTAACTATTTGGACATTGTAGCTTTCAAGTTTCAAGGCAGGTATTAGTGTTTTAGCTTAATTATCTTCCAAATTACGCCACACTCTAGGGTATGGATTCAAATCTTCATCCTGCAATGCTTTATTCTGCTCGCTCGATGTTAGATTATTGCAATACTGAAGTTCTCGTGCTCGATGAGATCTGGCATATCCTATGTTGATGTCATGGTGTAGCACTTTGATTCAATTATTTCTTTTTCTAAACTCGTAGATTACAGGTACATTTTGATGTAAAAAAAAAAAAAAACAAATTTATTCTATGTAACATTATCTAAGTTCTTGAAATGTTATATGTGCTTATTTGGTTTATGGGATGTGAAACCCTCTCAGGTACTATGAAATTTTTACTTCATTTTTATCGCATTTTTGGAAATTTCCTTTCTGCTAATTTTCTTTTTCGTTGAGGCTTTGCAAGAAAAGAAAAGGTTGATATAAACAATTTTGAATTCCCATTTCCCAAGCCCAATGATGGCAAACTAATGGACAATATATATTTTCATTTCTGAGTACCAGTACAATCAATAACATACATACAGTCATTACAATACTCCTACATACATACATAACCATGTCTACCAGTTTCAGGGTGTAATTAATTAAGCTCAAGTTCAACAGTCTCACATTTCTTCATTTTGTAGCTCTTTGAAATCACAAATTGTTTTGGTTTATTCAATAACAATTTCTGATAAGCTTCCTCCAAATTTACTGCTTTTAGAACAACATTCTTTCCTAAAGCTCTGGCAGCAACCAACTTGTCGCGCCTTGCTGCATGCATCATCAATAGCAGCACACTCCACATTACCTGTAGTAGTAATAAATTCTGGACTGCACACCTGATCGATTCGTTGAGATTCACAACATGGTTTTGTTCCTTTGTTATCATCTTTGTTAAGGCTGTTGCAGTGATTTGTGGAATGGTTGGCATGGCAATGATTCTGTGATGTCAACAATGGCTCTTCCAAATCTGAAGTAGTGCTTTCACAAATGCTGTTGTCACCTACATGGCCACATCCATAAGTTGAGTGGTGAGGATTACAAGATTGACATCTTTAATTTGAGGTTGTGCCTACATGGTCACACCCATAAGGGGTTGGCAGAGGCCGGTAAAGGGTTAAGTCCAGCAATTGGTGGCTAGGGAATTGTTGGGCGGAGGCCGGTGAAGGGCAAGTCCAGCACCCTGCCTCTCGAAAATGTGATGGCAGTCAGGAAATAAAGTTGTGTCTTTGCTACTAGCTATAACTTTTGACATAGTGGTAAGCGTTTGATCTTAACAAGTGGTATTAGAGCCCGTTCAAGTCCCAACAACAGCAAAAACTGTGTAGTTAAGACCAGTAAAGGGCCAAGTCCAGCAATTGGTAGCTTGGGCGGAGGCCAGTGAAGGGGCAAGTCCAGCACCTTGCCTCTCGAAAATGTGATGGCAGGGAAGGATGACATGTTTAATTTTGAGGGTGTTCCTATCCGGCCTATATATATAAGCATGCAGAAGATTGAAGACTTACATGTGTTCTGCAAATCTGTACTAGGGCAGCAGGGCTGCTGGCAAGAATGAGATGATTTGCAGGAGTTTAGAGGTCCAGATGTGGATGATCTCGATCCTTGAAGAAGCAGCATACTGTTAAAGATTACAATCAAGCAGGATCCAACATCAGAAACCACGGCAGCCCAGACAAGGGGATAACCTGCAACAGCCAATGCCAATACACCAGCCTTCATAGTGATGGACAAAACCATGTTCTCAATGATTTTCCTTCCAGCCCGTCTTGCAAGTCGAAGGGCTATTGGTATCCTCCCAACATCGTTGGTCATGAGGATGATATGGCCGGTTTCCATGGCAAGCGCGGATCCAGAAACACCCATCGAGATGCCAATATCAGCTGTGGCTAATGCAGGAGCATCATTCACACCGTCCCCTATCATCGCTGTTGCTGCTTCTTTCTGAAAGCCTCTGATGTATCTCGCCTTTTCTTCCGGGAGGAGTTCTGCATGAAAAGCCCCAAATGCACCACCTAACTGCACATATATATTGGGGGTATTTGGTAAATAGCTGTTAGCTGATTGGGTAAATGGTTTGACAAGTTGATAACATTAGCAGATTGTAGAAAAGTGTTTGGTAAATTAACTGTTAATTGCTAGCTGGTTACATGCAAAATGACTTTCTCAAAAAGCTGATCGAAAAATTTATTTTGAGTAGCTTACCAAACTGGGCCATTGTGAAATAATAATGCCTTAAATCTGCATCATAACATTATTAACCATATTTGATTTAGAAGCTAGTATAGGCTTAACTTACCTGATCTTGTGCATGATTTGCAGCTGTGTAGGAGTCTCCTGTGAGCATTACAGTTTGGATGCCCATTGAGTTGAGCTCTTCAAGGGCTTCTCGTACACCTCCTCGGCAAACATCAGACAGGCTAAAGCATCCAGCAGGAGATGATCCCACAAACACATAACTCATGGACTTGCCTTCTATAGTGTCTTCACAAAGCTCTGGAACTAAGTTCATAGGTATAAATTAAAATATGTAGTTAATATTGTCCAACAATATTTACCAACAAAATGAATTACAAAAACATTTTATATGGGTTTCTTCCAACACATAGAAACTAAATGATTTATATGTTGGGCGGAGGCCGGTAAAGGGCAAGTCCAGCAATTGGTGACTAGGGGATTATTGGACGGAGGTCGTAAAGTAAAGGGCTAAGTTCAGCACCTTGGCTCCCAAAAATGTGTGTAGGTATAAGGATATAAAGTTGTGCATTCGCTACGAGCTATAGCTTTTGGCAGAGTGGTAAAGCTTGATCATAACAAGTGGTAGGTCACAGGTTCAAGGCCGGTGAAGGAATTGTTGGGCAGAGGCCGGTGAAGGGCAAAGTCCAGCGCCTTGGCTCTTGAAAATGTGTGGGGGCCAAGCCCAACACCCTGAAGGATTGTTGAGCAGAGGCCGGTGAAGGACCATGCCCAACACCCTGGCTCTCGAAAATGTGTGGCAGTGGCTACGCACCCTGACTACACCCTGGCTCTCGAAAATGTGTCGCAGTGGCTATATAATGAAACAAAATTGTGCGCTTTTGGTGTAGTGGTAAGCGATTGATCCTAATTAACCACATATTGTCTTGATTGTTGTTGCAGAAAAGGTAAAGCTTCCTTTCACCTACCTGTAGTGCATCCTGCTCTTGAAGATATTTTCTTGTTTCCAATGTAGATTTCCCTCCCATCTATTCTTCCATAAATTCCCTCTCCAGGAAAATTTTGAAATTGCTCCACTCTCTCTGCCATGGCCTCAACTGAATGTGAATATGCATAGTCTATCACAGCAGTAGCCATTGGATGACTAGACTTACTCTCAATGCTTGAAACCCTGAAAAAACCATAAATTGTGCATCTGAAAAAATGTTAAAAATCATCTCTTTTTTCACCAATTACTTGAAGGCATTACATACCAGTAAAGCAATGTATTGTGGCTTACACCATCCATAAAAGTCTTGAACCGTGTCACTGTAAATTGGCCCCTTGTTACTGTCCCTGTCTTGTCAAAAGCCATGACCTTTATCTTAGCAAGAGTTTCAAGGTATTCTGCCCCTTTAAACAAAAGACCTAAAGTCGCCGCCTTTGAAAGTGCACAGAACATGGCAATGGGAGTGGATAGCACAAGTGCACAGGGACAGGCAGTCACCAAGGTAACCAAAGCTAATCGGTACCATTCGTTTCGATTCTCAAGTCTCAGTGAAGCAGGAACTATTGCCAAACAAGCTGAAATAGCCACTATAACTGCAATATAATGTACAACAAGTTAACATATTGAAATGTTCTTGGGATTTTTCTAACAATATAATGAAGGTGCAGTGGCACATTGTTACGGGCAGGGATATCTGGGATCGCGTCACAGGTCTAGAAACTTAAGAATAAAAATGAAGCTGTTCTGCAGTCTAGTCGGCGTTTAGGCAGGGCCAATTTTTACAACACTGGTTAGGACAGAAAAGATGGCAAAAGAAACATATATGGCATTATATTGTCTACTTTCTGTTGTCATTTATCTTCTTTTTTTCTTAATTCCCTTAACAATTTCCAATGTATAACAATAGCCAACCTGTGCTAATTACCTGGTGTGTAGTACTTGGCAATCTTGTCTATGTATCTTTGGGTTTTAGATTTATTGTTTTGGGCATCTTCTACAAGCTTTGCCATTCTTGCCACAACACAATCCTTTGCTACAGCAGTAGTCTTGATGTTGATGTACCCTGAAGAAATATGATCAAAAACTATCAGCAAGAAGTTAACTATAGGAGGCACGTTTTTTTGTTAGACCACGAGGTGTCCCGAGTCGACTGAGGCATGTTTTTTGGTTAGATCACGAGGTGTCCTAAGTCAACTGTCAGCAAGAAGTTAACTATAGGAGGCACGTTTGAGTCGACTGTCAGCAAGAAGTTAACTATAGGAAGCACGTTTTTTGGTTGACCATGGGGTGTCTTGAGTCGGCCGCAAGAAGTTAACTATAGGAGGCACGTTTTTTGGTTAGACCATGGGGTGTCTTGAGTCGGTCCAATAAAGTTGCAAAGTGTTGATTTTATTGTTTTTTTCGTACAAGAGGGGGTTTGAACTTCCGACATCTCTTAAGAGATGAGAGTGCACGGTCACCCACGCCAACCAAGCTGGTTGTGTCAGCAAGAAGTTGAAAGCACCAAGGCTAAAACTAAGGAAGGAAAGGATGAAGGAGATTCCAATTAAGTTACCATTAAGATTGATTGTGCCAGCCCAAACAGTTGAGTCCTTCTGCTTTGCAACAGGAAAGGGTTCACCAGTCAAAGTTTTTTCATCTACTTCGCATTCCCCATCAACAACAATTCCATCAATTGGTACCATTTCTCCAGTCTTGACAGAAAGAAGGGTGTTCAGTTCCACTTTATCAGCATTTAGTTCTTCACCAGTTTCAGCTAACACAGCCCTTTGAGGGACAACATCAACTAGTGATGAAAGAACAGCCACAGCCTACAAGACCGCGAAGATATATACGAGTTTATAAAACCATGGGTTAGACCAGCTAATTGATTGGATTCAGTTTTTAGTGTGATTTAGCTCATGTGCATTATAGCACAGTTGAGTGATTTTTATCAGGTTTCGCATAAGGGAGTTGGGAAAACCTGGTGAGTTGCCCTGGATTCTAGCCATTCTGCAATGGTGAAAAGGAAAGCAATTGTAGCAGCTTCCCAGTAGTCTTGTAGAGCAATTGATCCTATAACTGGATACATTTAAAAAACAATAAAAATCCATTGATGTTAATTAGATTCTTGAAGAATATGGTGGACATACAAGATAACATGTTCAACATTCTACACTTCATTATTCTTTTTTAATTTTCTTCTTAATTGAAAAAAATTATTTTCATATGCAAGTTAAAGAATAATGAGCACATCCACAACTTCCATTATTGCCAAATCGATTTACCTTTGCACAAAAAACGTAAATTTCATAATATAATTTTTTTCAATAAAAAGGTTAGTGAAAAATGCTTTTAAGGTATTATTTTTTATCTTTAAAGTACTTGCGTTGTAATTGATTAATAGACCACATGCTAGAAACTCCTACAATTACTCATTTCTATTAATTCACCAGTAATTCATGAAAAAAAATAGTTTTCCTTTTTAAAATCGGGAGTGGTTAATATAGAATGGTAATTATAATGTATGAAGCATTTTCCTTGATTAAATATACACAATAAAAAGGCTTAATTTGGTATATAATTAGCTAGTTAAATACAATGTGTGGTCTCTACTACCATCTCGATCATTTTGTCCTTTCACCATTCACCAAACAAATCACATGGAAATTGTAAGTTTATATTTTCCCAGGACTTAAAATAATTAGGCGCTAAGAATGTGGTTTTAGAAGCAAAGTGTGACCAATTGCGTGCACTAGTAGATATACTTGTAATCCTTGTATTGTAAAAATTGTAGTGAGTCAATAACATATAAAATTGAGGATGGAGGTTATAACCCGCACGGGCTTAGCTCAATGGTTTAGTGGACAGTATTTGGGGTAAGAGGATGGAGGCTATAATGAAGGACCATATATATAAATGAAATTAATTAATAATTCATGTAAAAAGTTAAGGCAAAAACTTGTCTGAGACTGTCTCACTGATTCTTATCCGTAAGACGGATCGGGTCAAGATGAAAATGTAATATTTATACTGAAAATATAATACTAACTATGAATAAAGTGTTTGTTACTTGTAACATTCACAATAGTAGATTTTAGGTGTTTTTTTTTTTTTTTTTTTTGGCAGATTTTAATACACATGTACGTGGATGAGAGAGAGAGTGAGGAGAGAGAAGATTTGGGGTTGTTGGCGGAGATAGTGGATTTTTTTCTCTACAGTGGGCTCCACAAAAAAAATAAATAAAAATGCTCCTAAATGCACGTGCCGCGTGAGGTGCAAAGAAGCGCCCAACTAGGTGCTTGCACACCACGCGCTAGCTGGGCAGGTAAAAATCCTTTATATTTTCTTTTTCTTTCATTGTCAGACTTTTTTTTTTTTTTTTTTTTTTTTCACACTTCACTGTCTCTTCTCTCCTATTTGACAACCTAAAAACTCACAAATACCTTAACAAATGAGGTTAGGAAATGTGTAATATTCTTTTACGTTTTGATTTAAAAGTATTATATTTTTCGCATAAATATTACATTTCCATCTCGACCAATTAACCTCGTTTCACGACTAAGGAACCCTGAGACGGTCTCAACTCATCAAAAGTTAAAAATCGGAACTTACCTGCAATTAACATAAGAATGTTTATATCAAGAGTTAGATTGAGCAGTGATTTAAGGGCCCTTAGGAAGATGGGTATGCTGCCCACTGCGGCAGCTCCAACCGCCAGCCATTTCAAGGGTTCATAAACATATGTTAGCAATGAGAGCAATAGTAAAACTCCACAGCATATTGAATGGGGACTTGGCCACTTTTCTGCATTATTATTCTTCACTCCATTCACTCTCACACTTGCCTCAAACCCTCCTTTATTGATTGCCCTCTCTGCTCATCAATCACCAATAAAAACAGGATTATTATGTAGTGTATGTAAACTCCATCAGTCAATATAATACAATATTATTAGCAATGAAATACTTCATTTAATTTGTCTCATTTTACCTGTCATGTTTACTATTTATTGATAAAAATCAATTATTTTTTATTTGCTAATTTTTTCTTTAGTATTTTTAAATTTAATTTATTGTGTTTAATATTACTTTTAATGTAGTTTTCAAAGGATAGCGTTCAGGTGAGAACTGCCCGCCCAGAAGAGAACTGAGAATCATCCAGCGCGCGTCACGTGTCCAGATCTAGGTGCACCTATAGTTACAACTAGGTGCACCTATAGTTATAAGTAGGTGCACTTAGGTGAAAGTAGGTGCACTTGTAGGTGAAAGTAGGTGCACCAGATCAATGAATGTTAACAAGGCAAAATTACATGCACTTGTAGGTGAAAGTAGGTGCGCTTGTAAGTGATTTTACTTGCACTTTGTACTTGCAAAGGTGCACCAACTACTTGCATATATAACACATTTACATGCACCAAAGGACACGTGGCGTGCGGGGGATGAGTCTCAGTTCTCTCCTAGGCAGCTGTTCTCACTAGATCGCGCCCCAGTTTTCAAATATATAAATTTTAGTGTTAATGACATCTGAATCCTCCAAGTATAGTTATTTTTTCATATTTAGTACGTCATAAACTTTCAAGTTAATCACATGTGGTTTTTCAACTTTTAAGTTAAACACTCATGCATAATCTTTCAATTATCAAATTTTAACTAGTTGTGGTCCTTCAACTTTCAAAATTTAATCAGTCGTGGTCCTTTTAAAATGACGGTTTGTCCATACATTAATACTTTTGAAAGAACCACGGGTGGTTAAAATCTTAAAGTTGGAGGAGTACAGTGTGTGATTAACTTAATCTAAAGTTTAAAACTAAACGTGTGACAGAATCACTGTACTCAGACGACCACATATGACATTAACTCATAAATTTTAAATATACTAATATTAAACTTAACATTATAAAAATTTAAATTAAAAATAACTTTAGCCAAGCCGACCCATTAATCAGACACATAACATGAAACGAAAAGGAGCAAGTAATAAGAAATACCAATCTGTTGCTCGGAGATGAGGAGAGAATGATGGACGACGACAACGGTTTTGGTTGGGATGACGACGGAAACCTCTACCACTCCCTCAAGAGGCTTCACAATCTTCTCTATCAATGAAGCCTCAGACGAACAGCAAATTCCCAAAGCATCAAAGTGGGTGGTCTTTGTCAGATTATTATTGTTTCCTGCAATTCTTTCACTTGTCACCATTATTTCTCTGATCCCTCTATACCTCAGAGAGAGAGAGAGAGATGGGCGGATCGGAAGAAATGGAACGACGCCACCACAGTCAAACTGGGCGGGATTAAATTACAGCCGACGTTGCGTTGACTTCAGACCGAGATCATAATAATAATAATAACTCCTGCTCTGGCCTGGAGCTTGCCGGCCTCCATCTCTATACAAAACTAATGAATATTAAAATTACTAATACTTATCACCAATAACATTATTTAAAACAAGCTAGATTCTATTGGATGAATATAGTATTAGAGAAACACATATAATTAATTTAGGGATGTGTATGTAGTCACTAGTCAGTTCTATTTTGCCTCTTCTGATTTAATTCAAAATGTTTATCGGTAGTTTGATTATTTTGAATTAAATTTGGTAGATGTTAAAAGTATAGCTGTATTATATATGTATGTATGTGTATGTGGTATTTGTTTAAAAAGTTTAATATGGGTGGTTGAAAATAGTGTTAGTTGTTAACTTAAAAGGTTTAGGGTTTGATTTCTAAGCAATACAAAAATTTAAAAATTTTAACAATATAAATTCAAAAATAAATAAACAGGCTAACGGGCTGACCCGGTTAGGAATTGAGAGACTAAGTCCTACATGATTTAGTGTTGGTGCCATAGTTCTCCTTTAGGTTAGTTTTGCCTTGCACCATCTCTTGTCTACTTGAGACCAATATAATGAATGCATGATCACGAATCCTTTCCATCCAAATTCCCGTTTTACATATTTGTTTGTTTCATTTACTCCTTTGCTTTCTATGCCTACATCAGTGTTCCCATACCACTCTTATCTTGCACCTAGTTTACTCTTGTCGATGCATTGTGACACGTGATTGCCTTGCACTCTGCTATTTACTCCGATTTGCCATCCTTGAGTTCGACACTCGGGGGTTCCACATCTCCGTTTACACTTTCTCATCCACCACATATACTATAGCATTATCAGGAAAAAACAAGTTGATGATACGAGAAGAACTTGAAAAGATGTGTACTATATTTGCACAATTCAGTGTAAATCTTGAGTGATTACGTTCTTTAAACTTGAACAACAACTCCACCTCACTAAATGATGAAACACAAGCCCCTTCTGATGAGGATTAATTACTTTATGTTTTTATGATTTTTTTTGTATGTGTTTGGCAATAGTGCATTGCTTAAATACTTGGCAAAACATAGTCTGCAAGCCCAGCCAATTTTCCGACTCAAATGGGTCTATTTTGAGAATTAATTTCTCATTCATCCATTATCCGTTTTTAGCGTACAATATATCAATTTCTTCTTCTTACTGCGAAGAACCCGAATCCACTTTGACTCGACCCAAATCGGAAGTGAATCCGACATATATTTGTACCACAAAAGAGCTACTTACAATGTCATTTTTGCTATTTTTTTCAACAATAAGAACTTGAACTAGGTCAAGGAAATGTAACCGAATAGGGAATAAAAGAAAGAGTCAAATGACTTGATGACGAATGTCGTTTAACTAGGAGGAAGTATTTCTCATGGTCATCCCATATAGCTTTTTGACGACTGAAAGGAGAGGAAGCTTTTGCTCCCGATCAAAGAGAAAAGGTAATTGACTTCCTGAACGACAAGTGGAACCACAGGGCCGGAGGGACGGTAAACTTGGCCAAAATATGACATCTGAAGAGCCCGACACGTACAATCCTATCTTATCCGAGTCCGAGTTTACCCCTAGCACCCCCTTGAAATGAGTGCATGTACATCACGCCTCCTATGGTTGTTGCCAATGCTCCGAGTGAACCCGAAATAGGCCATGGACTTGGATCTACCAAATGATAAGAAACACTCATGAGTGTGTAAGAGGCATTTCATCGAACACATTGTTCTTAACATCTCACACTCTTATTTTCTCAATGATGAATTAAGGTTAATTAACCCTTGAGTATGGATTAGGTAATCACTTTCTAATCGGAACTTAGTCATGTTAATTAACATTATTATTAAATCAAGTCTCATCTCCCTTACTCAACCAATTCAATGTCACATCTCCATGAACCTAATCTACATCCTTATCTCCCTCCTAAGCAGTGTTGCAAAAATTTCGCCAAGGCGCTGCCCAGCCGCGATGAGGAAGGCCGGAATCGGCCTCCTTCGCGGCCGGCTAACCCGCTTAACCGGCAAAACCGGTGAAACTTTTTTATTTTTTTTTATTTGCGATTCTTCGCCTCTCCAAGACTAGAAGCCGTGATTCAGAAATGGAGGAGAAGGTGGACGGGTGGAGACGGCGAGCACCAAGTGTGGGGAAGGCAATCCGTGACTCTTCCTTCTCCGACGGGGACGGCCTCTCCGCGACTCTTCCCTCTCCGACGGCGACGCCCTCTTCGCGACTCTTCCTTCTCCGGCGGCGATGGCCTCTGCCTCTCGGCGACTCTTCCTTCTCCGACAGCGACGGCTGGGAACACTTGGAAACTGCAAGATCTGGTCATCTGGTGTTTATGTTGAATTGTTGAGTCATACGCCTGAGGAAGTGCAATGTGCGTGGGAAGTTTGGGAAGTGCAACACAACTATCACTTATTCATTTTATTCAATACCAATGAAAAAATAAATAACATAAAATAAATAAATAAATAAATCGGGCGCCTAGGTGCCTTAGCGCTAGGCGCCTAGCGTCTTTTTCAAGATTGCTCCTAAGAGAATTACTCCCACATGATTATGCTACAAATGGAAATATATTCAAGATCAAAAGAGTAATACATAGCAATTAGAAAGTAGGAAATCAAAATTGCAAGACAATAATCAAAAGTGCAATAAAATGAAATTCGAATATATTGCCTTATCTATTAGGAGATGAAATTGTAAATCCTAGTCTTCAATCCTTGCTTCTAAAATGTAAATGAACTTGAATCCAACTAAAACTTGTATTGAAATTGGAATTGAAATTGTAAAAAATTGAAATCTAGGGTTCTAAGAAATTGAAAGTAGACTAAGTATTGAAATTGAATTCTCTAAAGGAAGGTAACTAACTAAAGTGCAAAGGTTCCAAAGTCTAAAATCCCCTAAATAAAATTTGACTTCTATTTAAACATTCGGAATACGCCGAGTCATGAAGCATGCCATATTGTGACAAGCCTCATGACGGACTTGATCAACTAGCAGAAACATGTGCATCACGAGCCACTTCACATTGTTATGACCTCTCTTGAAAGCAGAACACCCTTCGCAGAAGTTCACCTCACGAACTCGTCACATCATGATGCTGCTTGTGGTAGCAAAGGATGCCTTGTAGATGTTTCCCTCACGAGTCAGGTCATGCATGATAGCCTCGTTGGCTTCTATCCTAATTTTACTTTTTTCCCCCTCCAAATTGACCATTTTAAGCACATTAAAGCACTTCTATGCCAAAATTAACCAATTGATGTCCAATAAAAGTAGTACAATTAAGCACATATTCGTTTTCATTGTTGTTCTGATTTTCTTGAAAGCCCGCCACTACTATCTGAAAGTGTGTTCTGGGTGAAGTCCGCTCGGCTTGTGACTACAAAGAAGTAAACATACCTTGTAACTGTGACAATCCAAAAATAATTTTCCTAAATTCTATTTTATAAATTTTAAATAGCCATTTTCACCCTTTCAAAAATTTTATTTCGAAAATGGTGTTTGAATTAAATATTTTAAATTGAGTTTTTAAATAAATTCAGCACCGAGAATATTCTACTTCTAAAATCCTAAATTCTCGGGTACATTGGCTATGTACCAAGTTTTGACCCAGAAAGTCAATCTGAGTGAAACCGGAAAGGAACATGTGAAACCTGAACCAAGTGTTTTAACTAGAAACTATTTTTAGTAATTCTATTTTGACCCCAAGTTATCCCAAAATCATTTTTAAGACCATGGTCCATGATACAAGGTGAACCATGAGATTTTTATAAGCTTTGTCTGAGATATTTTAGAACAAGCAAATTTATCCTTTTGCCCTCAACCAATCATTGGGCATCAACCTAGGGTTGTGCACCCATATAAATAGAATAGTATCCTCTACATTCTCCTGATCTTTTCCATTTGCCTCTTCACCTTTGAGCTCTATGTTAGAAGGAAGAAACAATTGCAGTAAGTTTTCCCCAAGCTCTTCTCATCCATTCATTCTTTTGCTTCTAGTTTCCTTCCTTTGTTTCAATCTCTGAGAATCTTCCTTAGGCTTGGTTGGTGTTGCTTGGCTGAGATGTTTAGGAGGTGAAGGAAGTGGTGTTTGAGTAGAGAGGAGGATGAAATCCACACAAAGAAGAAGAAGAAGCAATGGTATAACCCATGGACTCCCAATAAACTTTATTTTGACTATGTGAAGTCTAGTTTGTAGTATAAATGCTTAGAAATACTAGATTATTGATGTTGTTGAGCTATTAGTGAACTATTGTTGATCTATGATTGTGTTGTTGAGGATTTGGGAGTGTTGGATTGCCCACAAATTATTGCAAATGAAGAAGAGATCTCTCTAGTGCACACTGTCTGTGCACCAGACTAGCTCACGGAGCTAGCCAACGACCCTATGCAGGGACTGTTGGCTAGTCCCATGGAGGGCCGGCTCTTGGGCACGATTCTCGGCTAGAACCGTGGCCCAAGGCCGCTGCTTGGTGGGGCTCCTCAAGCCCCGCCGCAAGCTCCGCCAGGCTAAGACAGTGTAGTGGCCAGGCCCTATGTGGCTCAGCTACGTGTCGTTCGGTCCGAGACTCGCGGACCCTTGAGGCTCGAACACTCGGGTTCGTTACAACGCACTAGTAGAATTTGACTTCGTTGAATTTGGAGTTGAAATGAGCAAATTACAGTAGATTTTGTGTTGAGAATTGCTATTGAAGTGCACTGTGTATGATTTACAAAGAAGGAAAATGTGAAGTGTTGGAACTTAGCTATTTGAATGAGAAGCATGATCATTATTTGATTGTTGTATTAAAAAGCATGATCATTATTTGTTAACCTTTGCTTGATTAGCATGTCTATATATCCATTGTGAGTTGTTGAGAATTTTGTCAAGAACATGAGATATTTAGTTGTGCAGTACATGAACTTATTTGTTCAGTAAAGTGAAATATTAGAGTATGAA